GATGAGGAGGAGGAGGAAGGAAGAGGAAGAGGACGATGGTGATGATGAGGAGGAGGAGGAGGAGGAAGGAAGAGGAAGAAGATGAAGATGATGATGAGGAGGAGGAGGAAGGAAGAGGAAGAAGGCGAAGATGATGGTGATGAGGAGGAGGAGGAGGAGGAGGAAGGAAGAGGAAGAGGAAGATAGTGATGATGATGATGAGGAGGAGGAGGAGGAAGGAAGAGGAAGAGGAAGATGATGATGAGGAGGAGAAGGAAGGAAGAGGAAGAGGAAGATGGTGATGATGATGATGAGGAGGAGGAGGAAGGAAGAGGAAGAAGAAGAGGAAGAAGATGATGAGGAGGAAGGAAGAAGGGGAAGAGGATGATGATGAGGAGGAGGAGGAGGAAGAGGAGGAAGGAGAAGATGATAGTGATGATTAGTATGAAGATAACGATGATGATACTTAATGATGATGATGATGGAGATAATAAGGGTGCTGCTAATGATAATAATAGTAATTAGGATATTGATAATGATTATAATGATGAGGATACTAACATTAAAAATAATAATGGCAATAATGATATTAGCAATAATAATAATAATGATGATGATGGTAAAAAGGATAAAATAGTAACGAAAGTTATGCTAATAATATTGTTGATAGCAATGAAAATAACAATTGCAACAACAATTATAATAATGATAATAATAAAAGTAATAATAACAATAATGATAATAACAATAATGATAACAGTAATAATAATAATAATAATAATAATAATAATAATAATAATAATAATAATAATAATAATAAAAGTAATAATAACAATAATGACAATAATAATAATGATAATAGTAATAATAATAATTATAATGATAATAAAAGAAAAAAAAAATAATAATGATAATAATGATACTACTAATAATAATGATAATGATGATGATAGTAATAATAATAACAATAAAAATAATAATAATAATAATAATGTATTATAATGATAATAATAATGATACTACTACTACTAATGATAATGATGATAATAATAATAATAATAATAACAATGAAAAAATAATAATAACAACAATAACAATAACAATGCCAATAATAAGAGTAATAACAATGACAAATAATGAAATGGTAATGGTAATGATAATGATATGGCATGATAACAATAATGATAATGATGATAATGATAATAATAGTAATAACAATAATAACAATAATCATAATCATAATAGTAATAATAATAATAATCATAATAATAATGATAATAATAATAATAACAACATTAACAGTAATAATGATAATAGTAATAATAATAATAATAATAATAATAATAATAATAATAATAATAATGATAATAATGATAATAATAATAATAATAATAATAATAATAATAGTAATAATGAAAATAAATATCATTATTATTATTATTATCATTATTATTATTATTATTATCATCATCACTTTTATTACTGTTATTTTTATCATTATGATAACGATAATGTTAATTATAGCGATGTGTGTGTGTGTGTGTGTGTGTGTGTGTGTGTGTGTGTGTGTGTGTGTGTGTGTGTGTGTGTGTGTGCGTGTGTGTGTATAATCAATAAGGATCAAGTAAAAGCATCTGAAATATGTACTTTATTGAAAGTCATGAGTAAAGGTGAGGCGTGGCCCTAGACAGCAGTACAAATAACACACGAAAGATTAGACATGATATTAAGAAGTCATTTTACATATCACAAAGTTCCTGCTTATTTACAAAATGATCTGGAACAATATTTTGAGTATACTTAATCCAGTACACCTTAACCTAACACTTTCAATCAAAATCCAACACTTTTTTTTTAATTCATTTGTGCGTTTTATTTTTTTAATCATTTATTTTTGGGGGGGTTGTCTTTGGTCAAACGTCCAAAGGAAAGAAGAGAAGGCGCTTTTATCCTTACTAATGATCGTGTTGTTTACTGTGGCACTTGAATAAAACTGTCTGTGGCGCTTGGCACTTCCTCGAGACGAAGGGAGAGAGTGGCACTGCCTTCCGGGGGATTCGGTTGATTGGCACTTCCTCGAAACGAAGGAAGAGTGGCACTGCCTTCCGGGGGTTTCGGTTGATTGGCACTTCCTCGAGACGGAGGGAAAGTGGCACTGTTTTCCGGGGGTTCGGTATGGTGACACTTCCCGACACTGTACGTTCTGTGGGATAGAGCAGTGGTGCTTACAGATGGAGTCTCACTGTATGTTATGTGGGGGAAAATACAGGGATGTTTTCAGCGTGAAATCTCACAGGGAAATTCTGTAGGGGTCGTATAATGATGTTTATGGCAGACACGTATCGATGTCAGAGGAATGAAGTCTTGTCATGATTACACGTTCTCTCACATGCTGTCCTTTCTAGCATTTCTTGATGTCATGTTGATGTCACTTCTTGAACACCGGCGGCAGTGTTTTCCAAGATTGGCACTTACGTTGACTCGAACAGTTCTAGACCCACTGGCACCTCATGACGTCACCACTGGCACCTCATGACGTCACCACTGGCAGTACACTCTACTGATGTCCCTTCACTACGACGCCACCAACTTGAGGAAGTCGCGTTTTATTGACATCAGCGGAAAAAAAAATAGCCAAGTTTATCCACGAATCACGTTTCTGATACATTATGCCATCAAAAGATAAAGGGAGAAAGGAGCTTAACCTGTGGGTAATTTGCATATTCGTACATGGCGACCATTGCAAGGGTCATCACAATTCAAGTCACTTTGGATATCCCTTGCCCCAAAGTCCCTCTTTCTAAAATATATATGTGTATATATATATATATTTATACGTGAGCATACTAGCGTACGTACTAGTTCTTAAGTGTGTGCGTGATAAAACAGTCGTGCTTTGCATGTGTACTGAGTTCCATACATATATTGGTTTAGGGTACTTGTGTACACCCGTTCTTTAATACTTACACAAACACACACACACACACAATCTCTCTTCCTCTCTCTCTCTCTCTCTCTCTCTCTCTCTCTCTCTCTCTCTCTCTTTCTCTCTCTCTCTCTCTCTCATACACAAACACACACACAATCTCTCCCTCTCTCTCTCTCTCTCATACTCAAATACGCACACAATCTCTCTCTCTCTCTCTCTGTCTCACACACTATATTCAAGCTAGAGATTAAAACAACATTACATTTACATAGACTGCAAAGAGTAGCTTACACTAGCCTTAAATTTAAAAAAATCCCTTGCCAAGACACTTAATATTCCTAATTTCTATTACATTTTCTCTCTTCGATACTGATATGAAAATTCCTATCAATTCACTTATTTCTCAAAGCTTCTCCAGGAAGATGAGATACACATACTATTCACACCAAATCCTCTTTTTTTATTTATTTTACATTTGGTCAAGAGATCCTATGGTTTAGACGAGCGTAACCCGTCCATAAGATACTGCACTATGTTCTATGGTATATATTTTTTTTACCGTATGACGTCGATTGCATTATACTCGTCATCATCATCATCCACCAGTCGAATAAAATGGTTATTTATCGTTAGAAGATGGTGAACAGTTACCTCTATCACGGCGGGTACCAGTCCCTATTCAGTTACAACACTATGACTGTTCTATCCTAATATAAACATGAACGAAAGAGTCAGCAGCGTTAGTAACCACCGCTGGAAGGTACGTGAAGGTACACGGTAAAACCTTATTCAGAGAACAGAGTACAAGCAAGAAGAGAAAAAAAATGTCAAAACCTTAGGAATACAACACCACTTCCTTGAGGAAATGAACCAAAATACAAACACTGTTACTTGCTTTCAGAGGTTTAAAATAACGAAGCGTAACTACAGTAATAAAGCAAGCACTAAAATGTGACTATACATATATATATATATATATATATATATATATATATATATATATATATATATATATATATATATATATATATATGTATATATATGAATACATATATATATATATATATGTTTATATATATATATATATATATATATATATATATATATATATATATATATATATATGTATATATATATATATATATATATATATATATATATATATATATATATATATATATATATATTATATATACATATATATATATATATATATATATATATATATATATATATATATATATATATATATATATATATATATATATATATATATATATATATATATATATATATATATATATATATATATATATATATATATATATATATATATATATATATATATATATATATATATATATATATATATATATATATATATATATATATATATATATATATATATATATATATATATATATATATATATATATATATATATATATATATATATATACACATGTATATATATATATATATATATATATATATATATATATATATATATATATATATATATATATATATATATATTTATTTATTTATATATATACACACACGAGGCTCTTCGTCAGAAAATAAGACATAACTTCGATTCTCTTGCCTGACAAGGAGTTTCATCTTACTCGAAATGTGATGCCTCAGCTGTCCCTTCTTAGTGTTTCATTTCAGTAGTTCACATTTTCCCTTATTTTCTTAAGCACTTGTTCAGATTATTATTGTTATTTTTTTTATTTCTCTCATCATTTAGCATTATCTTGTGTACAGTATATTTTTAGGGACAATTTTTCTTATTTCCTTCCGAATAGTAACCTCTTCCCCTCCCCCCGTTTTATATATAACTAAGAATACTACTTGTTCTTATATTTCTCCTCATGGGTGTTTCTCCAACTTTTTATTTATGTTGAGTATGTGGTAGAAGGTCCATACTTTTTTTTTACTAGTGATTGTCACCGAACTAGCATATCTCTCGCGATGGAAACTGCTAGTTGAGTTTCGAATTTATACTAATGCTCCCTTGAACTTCCTGACTAGTACTAGGTCCGTCTCATTTAAAAGGGAAAGTGTATATAAAAGGCTGAATAAAGAT